ACTGAATGTTCCAAATGCATCTAAAAATATCACTCTTTATGATCTATTGAATGTTCCAAATGCATCTCTCTAATAAAGGTAAAGTATGCAATATTTCATTAAAAAAGGAAAAGAAAAAAAACAAGCATTTTTACTTTAAGCATTACTTACTTGCAGAACTGCTACTTCATAAGTTTAAAAAACAAAAAGGGAGAACAAGCAGCAAGACTAATTGCTACATCAGATATTCTAGGCACACTCTTCTGTCAACTGACTGAATTATTTTCAGAATGAATAAAAAAAAAAAAAAAAGGGGGAGAATATTTAATTGCTATGCCAGATATTCTATGCAAGTTCTGTAAAATGACTTCAATTAAAATGATAAAATGCATTATTGCAGCCATCAGAATTTAAAAAAATTTAAGGTACAGGGATAGGGCACATATTACAAAGTATTAGGTCAAGTAAGGAGATCTGAGAAGTTGAGAAGAAAAACAAGATGACAAGGGGCATACTTTTGTATTAGAAAAATAACAATTTGAAAAGCAAGTAACATCTGCTCCATCAATTTGAAACAGCCTACATATGAAATGATAAAATTCAAAACTGATATGCATTCAACTGAAAGATATATTCACGGATAGGAAGAATGTTTAATTGCTATATCAGATATTCTGTACATTAACTTGAATTAAACTGATAAAGTACAGTTTAAAGTATTTACAGAATGCATTATTGCAGCTATCAGAATTTTAGAAATTTAATATACAGGGATAGCCCAACTATAACATTTACTGTTTATAACTTCCCAAACCAAAATTAATAAGTTAGGAGATCTGAGAAAGGCTAATCTTTGGAATATGGTACCATAGTTTGGCGACATTTTGGTAAGGCGATAAAGGTTACTAGCTAGGACTTTAGCAGTGTACATGGATAAAGTCAAGAGTGTCTGCAATGCCATTTTTGTGCAATTCTGGGATGTTTTTTTAAGTGAAAATAGGTCAACGTTTACATGGATACCGTGTACGTGCAATTCTTAAATACACGGCAAGCAGTGGGCGATTCTGCACTTTCTTTCAATTTCGCACCTAATCTTCGTCATGATTAAGCACTTTTGTTCCATAAAAGTTCTAGCATAAGCGTAATTCAGCTAGCAGATTGTTGGGAAAAAATGCCTTCTTTACTTCGAGAAAACAAAATGGCGTAAAAAAAAACACTTACTACCAATAAGTATTTGGACACCTAATGCAAATGACGATATCTGCGGTCCTATGGTACGCCACGGACTCCGCCGGTATATATCGTGTAGGAAACAGCATTGGCTTTAGTCGCATGCAAGATGCCTTGCAGTTCGGAGCTCTCTGATTTCGAGAAAGGTATAATTATCAGGTATCACAAATGTGGCCGATTCTTAAGGGATACATCTAGCGATCTGGAGTACCCAAAATCGACAGTGGCCTATGTGATTAAGAAATGAAAGGTGAGCAGTGATTGTCGGAATGTGCTCCGAGTCGGCAGACCAAGAAAACTGGGAGATAGAGACCGACGAGTGCTGTCCAGAGAAATTCGGAAGAATTGCACCCAACCGATGGCCCTCATCCGCGAGGAGTTTCAACAGGCATCCGGGAGTATTGTTTCATTGAATACCATCCGTAAGGAAGCACATCTGCTAGGTTTTCATGGTCATGCTGCTGCCCATAAGCCTTTGATGAAAAAGTCCAACCGCACTGCTAGGTTAATGTGGTGCAAAGCACATCGAAATTGGACCGTAAATCAGTGGAAACGGGTTCTTTGGAGTGATGAATCAAGGTTCACCCTTTACCGTTCGGATGGCAGGATCTGGGTCTGGCGTCTACCTGGAGAATGTCTCCTGCCAGAATGCATTGTGCCAACAGTCAAGTTCGGCGAAGGTGGAATTATAGTCTGGGCGTTTTTCTCCTGGTATGGGTTGGGACCCTTGGTCCCCATTCATGGTAAGCTCAACTCCGATGCCTACTGCACTATTTTGAATGACAATGTGCTTCCTATGTTGTGGGAGTTTTACGGGTTGGACCCCGTAAAAGACGACAATGCCAGTTGTCATGTTTCGACGTTAACCAAGGCGTGGTATGGTGCCAATGGAGTTCATCGAATGGACTAGTCTGCCCAGAGTTCAGACCTGAACCCTATCGAGAACCTCTGGGACGAGTTGCATCGCTGAATTCAGGGGTGCACTACCCGTGCAAAATTTGTGAAGGAACTTCTATGTCTTCTCTAAGCCGATGAAGAAAATTCACTAACTGTCATACAAAGACTAGTGGAAAGTATGCCCCGGAGGATCCATGCTGTAATTACCTCTCGTGGAGGCTCTAACAACTATTGATTTTGAATAAAGTTAGTTTTTCTTTTCTATCACAGGTGTCCAAATACTTATTGGTAGTCAGTGTAGCAGGTTGCTGTAGCAGGGTTGGTCGCCAAATTTTCGCGAAGTTACCATAATTCGAAGATTAACCCTGAGAAATTAACAGGAAAAACATATAAGGCTTTCGTAAATGATGCTTTTAAGTTCCAATGCCAGAGCTGGAATTGCAGCAGTAGGCAGAGATGCTGTGATTGCTAATCAGTACATTGATACCATGAGCTCTATTTTTTTCTGCCAAGGCCTGGGCCCTCTGGAAGCTTTTGGATAAACTAAATGCAAGCGATAAATTCATTATCCTCACAAATAGCATGTCAGTAGCTAAAGCTATTGACTGTGTTCATAAGAAGTCAAATTCTCTCATCCTTAAGTTGTATGGTTTGATGAAAGCTTTTCACTCTCTTGATATCGTTTGGGTCCCAGGCCATAGAGGTGTAGTACTGAACGAATATGCTGATAAGCTGGAAAGAGGGGAAAATGTCTAAAAGGTAAGCGATCTCTCTGCAGAAGATGCAAGTAGCTTCCTCACTAGGGCCATCAAAGATGAGAATGTCAATAGCTGGCTTACCTCCTGTATAGTGCACAGGTTCAGCTACTGTAATATTTATAGAGTGGAACAAAAGACGAAACATTAGTAGAGCAATGAAAGTCACAATTAGTAAAGCAACACTGCAGATGCTAGATACAAAAGAGCTCATACAGATATCGAAGATCCAACTCTCCTTATTATGATAAGTGTTTACTGATCGACAGCACGGAACATGTATTTGTTCATTGCAAGAAATACGAGAAAGCCAGAGGCAAAATGTTAAGGAAAATGAAATTGGGAGATATAAACCTAATGGCCAATTTGATTGCCCACTGCAATAGAATCCCTGGCGTTATCGAATTTTAGGGAACTTTATTACTAAATGCATTCAGAATTCTTAAATACTTTTACAGGACTGATGTTCTCTCTGGAGTGAAGGAAATGCGTCCGTAAATAACTAAATAAAAAAAAAGTTCATTGTGCATGCATAGGAGCACAAGGTGCCGAAGGGAAGCCAAGCTTTACAAAATAGAACATGTAATCATTTTGCATACTTTGTTCAATTCATCACTAAGGAATTGTTTATTGATAAAATATTGAACTTGTAAATGAACATTATTGTATAGCTTCCTTTTTATCCTTCATCAGATGACATGAGATACTTCTTTATATAAAAAAAATAACAATTTGAAAAGCAAGAATTATATGCTCCATTTATTTGAAACAGCCTACACACGAAATGCTGAAATTCAAAATTGACATACAATTAGCAACTCAAAAATTGCTAACTATTCAAATGAAAAAAAGCATTTTTTTATCTTTCTAGTAAAATATTGTAATAAATGAAGTAGATTCTGTAATTATTAAGAAACTAGAATAATACTGTATACAGCTTACTAGATATTTATCAAGAAGCTGCAAATGTAGAAGCCATTTACATAAATTATTAGAGGTGGGAAGTATCTTAAACATGAAATTTACGTCACTGAAGCTTCATATAAAGACAAAAAACACTTTTATCATAATTTAAAGTTTCTTGTCAAGAGAAAAATTGAAATCTGCACTTCATGAAAGTATATTTATGATTATTTTTAAAAATATACCTATATTTAAAAAAAAAAATCAGATTTAGTAAAAGAAGTGCATGATTAAAACTCTTAAATCTTGAAGTTCATGTTCCCAATATAATTTGACAAAATATATTTGAGTAAGAATTTAAATGTTTTACATTTTTTAAAAACAATGATAAATATGGAAGAACTATTTCAAGAATTAATACAAATTAACATAATTTGTGGAATACAAATTCTCTCCAGAAAATTAGAAGTTTGGCATTTGGAACCACCAAGAGATTATACTGGCGATTCATGTCAACCGAAATTGCAAAAATTGTGTTCTTTATTTAAATGACCATTTCTGCTAGTTGTCACTAAAACTAATCTATCCAAAGATTTCAGTACACACACTTAATGGATTTTTTGATTAGGATTTAAAATAATCATATGATTAAAAAGCATGACGATTTGAATTTTCGAACCTTAAATTTTTTAAAAAATATATATGGGATCTGAATATTTTATTCCAGCTGTTCAAACTGAAAAACAGGTTCATTACGCTTAATAAAAAAACAGCACACTAAATTGTCATGGTCGAATAGGAAAAGCACAGCCTTAAAATAGTAGGCAATTTACTAAGGATAATATTTTGATAATTAACATATTACTTATCCAAGTTCATTCTTATTAGAATTTCTGCTTCCCAGTTTCATTCTGTTTATAATTTTATTATTATATCAAATATACCTACTTACACTATAAAATACACTACCTAATACACTCTATAAAAAACTTGCAGATCCACAAATTAAGTCTGAACTTTTCCAAGCACAAAATTTCATACATTTATGCTTCTTGAACCAAAAATTATAAATAGAATTCTTTACCGTACCACACTTAACATTTGCCTAAGGGGTTAATTTTTCCAAATGTTTTCCCCAAGATTATGAAATTCCCCCTTTTTTTTTTAACAGTATACTTGAAGAAGTGAAAAAAAAAAAAAACAGCGTAAATTTTATCTAAATAACAATCTTATTACATTCTTTTGTAATAAAGGTTATTCTTTTCAAGATTACTACTTTTTGCTCTGTCGCTTCAGCTGTTCATCCCTAAAAAGTTTCATAACTTCCGGAGATTGTAGTAATGCTGCTTTTTTTTCATTTAGAACTTCCTCCAAAATAGAATTTTTCATGTAATCTGAAGAACAGTCTGCAGTTAATTCTCGTCCTGAACTTAAGTTCACAGAGCTTTCATAACAAGATCCTTCAAGTTTGGATGTTTTACTTGCGGAAAACTCAGCAGAACGAGTATAAGCAAAGCTGGATGATTCGTTGTCCGTGGTAATACGAGAATCTGATTCTGTTTTGATACCGCACGATTTTGATTTAAGCTGATAATTTGTTACGCATTTCTTTTTTGAATGTTTAACTTTGGACATTCTCAAGGGCACTAAAAAAATTAATGATTATTAAATTTAATTTACCTATTCAAAAGCATTAGCCGTTTACTTTAAATATGTTAAAAAGTACGGTAAACTACACTGGAACTCAAAAGTTTACATTTCAGTTTCAAAATACTAAACTGCAAACATAATTTCAAAATTTCCATTTAATTTCGAAGCATCAGACTGAAAACTCAGGTATGGATATTGCATTAAACACGCAGAGTTGAGCATGAAAACTCCTGAAAAGCGCACATATGAAAATGAAGCGGAAATGAGGCGGATTCAAATAAAAATATTTTTGTTTATATTAAAAAATATTGTTTAAGTCTGCGTAATATTTTTTTTTGCTATAAGAAAAATATTAGAAATATAAGAAAATATAAAGAATAATATGAATCTGACTACATATCATAAGATTTTTCACATGACAAGAAGCAGAGCTTTAGAAGTGAAACCTATTTTGATTGGCCAAAAAAGTTTCGGGAGTCTAATTTGGCTCATTTATCGCCTTTTTGTTGATATTTATGAAGTCCCATATTTGATTTATGAATCAGCAGAATTTGTACTATAAATTAATTTAATTTCCAAGAAAGGTAAAATAATCGTACGCCTTAAAATTCGAAAAACTTTAAAATGACAAAAATATTTTCATACGTCATTTTCAGTGCAAATGACTAAAATTCTTGTATTATATCAAAATGCATTCGACTTTATTTAAGTACTGATATAAATTTAGGAAGTGGGCAAGTATTTCATACATGGGTACATTTTGTTAAAAACTCTGCAAATGAATTCCAAGACTTTTCTCATTTAGGCTTAATCCTAGTATACGGTGCACATGACAGTTGGCGATGAAGAGGAGTGTTGCAAGCTTTAAACACGGGTTAATCTCTCAACTTCGTTTAGTAATAGTTCCCCCGAAAATTTGCGTTTACCTCTGTTTTAAAGTGAAAAAAACGTGTTTGTGAAGTTAAGATATCACAACCTTTGGTGAGTAATTTCAAATTATGTGAGAGTTTCATTTAATTTCAACCATATCTTTTCTAAAAAATTCAGGGCTTGGCGTGCGTATGATGATGTGTGTTGTCAAAGGTTCGGTTCATAATTTTCTCATTTTTTAGCGAGAGTTTATTTTTCAGAAATAAAGATATAGACTCTTAACCCGGCGGAAGGCGCACCAAGAAAAGTTACTAGAACGGGCGCGTGAGGTATCACATACCCCAATATTTAAAATACAATAAAAATAGTATTATTTAGTTTTAAAACTTTTTTTTTGTTTTGTTCTCGTGTATTATAAACAAGTGAATAATAATTGGGTTTCAAAAAATTAATTTCCGAAATAATCTTAGAGTTAAAATTAAAATAGATGAAAATAATAAACATCATGCCTCTAAGTTTCATTGCATCTCTAATACACCATGCTTTTTTTTATTTCTTCACACTTTGAACGAAATACATTCATGTGTTCTTGGCACAGAATGTTTTCACATTTTAAACATTGCATTCACATTCTTCTGTCCTTGGCGGGAGGGCAAAGAATTTAACACATCTTTCATACTTAGTTGTTTCTTCTAATTTCATGTATTCGTTTTAATTCTTCATCGAAACTTCTGCTTTTCTTTTGCATGCAGTACCTCAATTTCTTGGAAAAGTATTAATCTCTGATCTTTGTTCAATACTTTTTTTCATTAATTGTAATGGTAAGTCCTTCAAAAACAGACTTCTGTTTCTTGTTGGTGGATTAGCAGTTGAATGTAATATAATTCAAACATTTATTACAGCAACATTCAGTGCAGGAAAGAAAATTGCCATTGGCCACCTTCTCCTTATTCTGGCAATTGAATAATTGGCTGACATTTCATCTCCCATATCCACTGCTCCTTTAGTCATATTATTAAAACATATAATTCCCGAAGTTTTATTTTCTCCAATAGTATCATCTATAGCATGATCGTTATATAATGTTGAAAGCATAAGAATAGTTTTTAATTTTTTAGGAACATCAGGAATTAATGTTTTTTCTTTTTCGAAACCAAAACATTGTAGAAAATATTCTTAGTTTCATCTTCAGTTTCCGAAAAGCAATCTTCATCGCTTTCAAATATTTCTAATAAATCTAAATGCGTTGCATCTCCAGTTCATGGGGAATCATTCTTTTTACCATAATGCAGTTAGAAATCTTTTAATAATTTAATGTCAAGTACTTTAAAGTCACCTGCGAGTAGAGAATATTTACTGTTACACTCTAGACTAATAAATTTCTGAACTAAATATTCAGTCAGAAAAACACTTACACGCACAGGCGCGTGGGGTGTGTCATACCTCCAGTTGTAACAAAATACCGATATATCTTTTTCTAAAACACACAGGCAAATCTTTTTCTGAAAAAGCAAAGAAAAAGTGGTTCTGAAAGTCAACCACAACTAGAAACTCAGCTACTGAAAGTAGCACAGAATTTCAGTTTCACAAGTTAGGAATATTCCACTTTTATGTAGGGTTGGGGTATGATACACCCCACGCTCCTTCCCGAGGGTTAAAAATGTTGTTTTTTTCTGTCCAGCTATCATTAACATAAAAGTTATGGAATAGATTTAGAATAATTCGTTAAAAAGTAGATAAAACAATCTCATATTTCGTATTTAAAATATATATACAGAAATGTGGTTGTATTCTAAAAGATAAAACTCGGTGAAAGATGCAGAATGCTGGACAAAATATGAATTCATGTTGGGACTGGGGAAGGGGGGAAAAACTTAATTTTTCAAGGTTTATAATTTACAGTTCCGTAACTTCCTATCTTATCATTTAAAGTTATCACTATTTTTTGTGTTAGTGTGTCATAGTGTATAAATATGTGAATAATTATAACTGAAGAATTAGCATATATTATCAAAAATAATTCTTTGATATCTATGTAAATAAAATATTACTAAAGATTGATTTCATTAAAAAAAAAAAAAAAAAGAATTTTTTGCTTTATTTCTGTCAGAATAAGTATCTGTTTTGTAATTTAACTAAAAGACAAAGAAAAAAGTACAAAATTCTAAAGTTTAAATTGCTATCGGTAAATTCTTGAATGAAAATCATGCAGAACCTTAAAATTTTTAATACTTAAATTATTCCACCAAAGATAAAATATAAAAGGGAAAAATGAAATTATATTTTCATTATCTGCATCTACTTCCAGTATTAAGTAGAAATGCTGGTTCAGGTGTGGCATATAACAATCGCATATCGTAATTTTTTATGTTGCATTGCCATTGGTTTTGTTTTCAGATAATGCCACATTTCGTTCCCGTTTAAAGACATTTTTCTTGATGCCAGGATCTTGTAACTGAAAATACACCATGTTGTCTGGAGGCATATCCTATTCAAAGTATGATTCTTGGAACAATACGATGAATACAATGATGGGATGGAGGTGTGTCTTCTGAAAGAGAACCATGTAATTCTATTCATATTTTAGAAGTTATTAGCTGGATTTTGAGAGTCCTGTACATGGCTGTTTTATGGGCTGAATTATAAAAAAAATTCGGTGACTTTGACTGCTGGATAGTCAAGTTTTTACTCTGCCATTAGTGAAATTTAATTTTGTATTTGTACCTTATTATGCAGTGTTCAATATCATTTCGGCTAATCTTTGGAATATGGTAACAGGTAGTGGCGACATTTTGGTAAGGCGATAAAGGTTACTAGCTAGGACTATGATGTGTATTTGGACAAAGTCTAGGGAGTGTGCAATCCAAGGTTACTAGCTAGGACTATGATGTGTATTTGGACAAAGTCAAGGGAGTGTGCAATCCAAGTTTGTGCTGTAAAAGTATATTTTAGGGTACTCCTTGGCGAAACTTGGCAATTTTTGGCAGTACATGGATGCCGAATTTGTGCAATTCCTTTGACTTATTATTTTGGCTTGCATAACAATGATTTTTGCGCCAAAAATCGCCACTACACAAAGACAAAGAATTGCACAAATTCGGTATCCATGTGCATATCAACCTATTTTCACTTAAAAAAATTCCCCGAATTGCACAAAAATGGCATTGCACACTCCCCTTGATTTTATCCATGTACACATCAACCTATTTCACTTTAAAAAAAAATCCAAGAATTGCACAAACTTGCATTGCGCACTCCCTTCACTTTGTCCATGTACACATCGATATATATTTTCACTTAAAAAGTCGAATGAGCACCCAATCCTACAATACAGGCAAACAAAAAATTACTACATTTCAAACCAAACAGTAAAATAACTTAAAAAAGGAAAAACATGTTATACATTTAAGCACTACAAAAAGCAAATATCCACTTGCTCTATTTAGAAGTTCCTTTGTCTTTAATCTGTGGCACACAAATTCCTTAACAGCATCAAAAAACTTCCTAAAATTATCTGAACTCGAATTCGTATATTGGCGTCGCCACATCTGAACTTTTCTTCCTACAAACCCATTCAAATCCATCTACACGGTTTTTACGTTCGACTAGATGCATATCTTTCCTACATATAGGACACTTATAATGGCTACTAAGTAAACATTCATTTGCACACCAGTCAGTTAATGCTCTTTTCCCCCCTTTCGTTCCAAATCATACAGAAACTTCAAATTAATCTTACTACATTCAGCCATTCTACCGTCTAAACAATAAAACCAGCACACACCACAAAAAGCACTTACAAAACATCCCATGATTCAAAATTTTTCAGAATCGTGCACCCGATTACGTCACAATAGAGTTTTCATAACATTCAGGCTACCATAAATGTAGCAACTTATCGATAAACGAAACAACAACCATAATACAAGAGGTACCTTAAAGTCTACTAAAACCGTTTGTGCAATTCTTTGATGTTTTTTGAAGTGAAAATAGGTTGATGTGTACATGGATGCTGAGTTTGTGCAATTCTTTGACTTGTTATTTTCAAATTGGCAATTTTGAGAAACGTGCGAAGCAGTGGATGATTCTGCACTTTCCCCACTTTAACTCCTTAACTAACCTTTTTTTTTTCTGTTTCCTTGCAAAAATTATCCATTTTTTTACTATACTTTTAATTAGCAGAACAAGAGATTTTACAAATATTTTTCCGAAATTTCTGTATTTTTTAATATTCTAATGAATTCAAAATAACTGGTAAATAATTGTTGTAAGTTAATTTGTTAGTATGTTTTTTGTGTCGAATGAACAAAGAAATATTTTTGAAATAATTTTGGATTTTCTAATCATAAATTGAATATATATTTGTATAGGAGAAATGTGAAGGATGTTATTTAAAATAAGAAAAATACACACAAAAAATAATTGCTTCAAATTAGAAAGTGTGATAGACCTTGAAACATGGCATCACGTAAAAAGGCATGTTACAATCTGGGCGAAAATAGTTTGTTTCTACAAGATTTTTAGTGAAGTCCTAAAAGAACGAATTTACAAATTATTTATGTGTTATCCTGCCAAACTGTGAAACAGGCTGAATGACTAACTTAATGCATTTGGCAGAGATGAAAATACCCGCACATGCTTTTGGACAGGTACCTAGATGCTGAGTTGAATGAGGTGTAGTATAAAACTTGTGTTTTCTCATAGCAAAAGACTGTGAAGGTCACCAGCATAGCCACAAAAAACACTGCGAGTTTATTCAGAATAGATAAAAAAAATGTGTGTCCTGAATCGGGATAATTATTTTTAATGACTGATTTAATTCAAAATAAGTAGGCAAGCAATTATATTTTTGAAAACATATAAAATTTTAAATTAAATTTTGCATAAAATCTCTGTTAATTTAGGGCTTTTCTCTTTAATCCTGTGTTTTACATGGTTTTTTTTTTTTTTTTTTTTTTTTTTTTAAGTCTATTTTGCATGGGATGTTTTCTTTTTCTGTAAATTGATTTGTCTCCATGAATGGAAAATCTAATAGAACTCTGATCCCGAAAAGAAGCAAAGCTGAAATAAAACCAATTGATGCTATGAATGAGGTTCCAATTTTGACTCTTTAAACTTTGTTGACCTAAAATTAGAAGGAAAAAAGATGAAGAATATTTCATAATTTTTTTGCAGAAAGTTTCTGTTAGCATTTTCCACTTTGAGACCCTATAACGGCTAAAGTGCAGAATCGGCCACTTATTTGATTGATGTTTGTTTAGTGCTTTTTTACAAGAGTAAGAAGAATTGGATTTTTGTCAATTTTCTTTGACTTTTTAAGTGAAAATAGGTCGATGTGTACATGGATAAAGGGAGAGCACAATGCCATTTTTGTGCAATTCTGGAATGTTTTTTTGAGTGAAAATAGGTTGATGTGTACATGAATACCAAGTATTTGCAATTCTTAAAAACGCGCCAAGCAGTGGGCGATTCTGCACTTCCCCCCTATAACTATGTGCTAATATTTAATCCAGCCGGGAAAAAATGATTGTCAATCAGAAACTCTTGAATTATTTATCATATTTTTTGGAGTACTATAAATCATGGGGAGTTGGCAGAGGTAAATTTTTTTTTTTTTTTTCATCTGAAGTCTATTTACGGTACTGCTTATAGATCAGGCGAGTTATTTATTCACAGTGGTTAGAGAAGATCTAAGGGTGCCCTTTCTATTATCGCAAAATTGTTGTTACATTTATCACCAAGTTATTTCGTTTATGGTAACCTGAGTAGTTGAATGTTATGGAATCTTTATTATGACATAATTGGTTGCGTGACTGCTGTGAATTTTGAATGATAAGAAAAAAATTTGTAAGGCCTTGTGCTGTGTGTTGGATGGAATTTCGTTGCTTGTTTTGTGGTTTAGACGGTAAAAGGGCTGAATGTGGTAAGATTAATTTGAAATTTTTTTACGATTTGGAACGAAAGGGGAAAAGAGCATTAATTGATTGGTGTGTAAATAAAGGTTTACTTAGTTGCCATTATAAGTGTCCTGTTTGTAGGAAGGAAATGCGTATGGTCGAACATCAGAGGATACTGGCACTATGGAGGATATTTTTTATTTTTATCTTGATGAATTAATGTGGTGATGTCAGTATACAGATTCTAGTTCAGATAATATTAGGAAGTTTTTGGACGCTGTTAAGGAACTTTGTTTGACTGAAGACAGGCAGATTTCTAAGTTAGATAAGTGGATATTGCCTTTGTGTAGTGCTACAATGAATTTCCTTTTTTATGTTATTTGATTGTTTGAATTAAAATGTAGTCTATTGAGAGTACATATTTTTTGTTGGCTGATGCTTTTTAAGTGAAAATAGATCGATATATTCATGGAAAAATTCAAGGCAGTGTGCAATGCCAAGTTTGTGCAATTCTCTGATGTGGCTTTGTGTAGCGGTGATTTTTGGCAAAAATCGCCACTACACAAAGACCAAATAACAAATCAAAAGAATTGCACAAACTCGGTGTCCAAGTGTCGCCAAAAATCGCCACTTTTCACCAAGATGCACCAGTTAATATATTTTTACCATTCACAGCATTCAGGATACATAAAGTGGTAGGCTTCATCAATGCAATACATTATGTTTGTAAGTCTTTGCAGTTTGAATGCTGACAGAATGAAGGAGGTACTTCTTAAATATACGTATCATATTCAGCAGTACATAAGATTGCCAAGCAGTGTCCAGATATAATGACATTGTGGTAGATCTAGATTAATGAAGGAATGCTTAAAATTGTGATCATTTCAATAATATAAAAGATCTGAAATAGTTTAGTCTTTCAAAATTAGAAGCGGTAACAAATGCCAGAAGTTTTTTTTAGGAAACATTAAAATTGGAAGCACATTAGTTTTTGAAAAAAGAATAGTGGAAAACATTGCGACATGCAAAAGGTTGGCATAAACGAGGCATTGTGCAACTGTTTAGTGGAGCACAACATGCTTTAATTGAGGCCTAGCCGACATAATGTTAGTTTTCTTTTTTCTTTTTTAGAATATGTGAAGTTTTATTTCATAAATTTTTCATAATTTAAATAATATATAAGTTATTAAAAGATTTTTTAAATTTCATATGAAAGTTCATATCCACCAAATTCCTCAATTTTATCCACCAGCATGTGGATTTATATCTAACAAAAAATCTGAGCTCTAGCAATCATAGAATATGTATTGACGTTCTTTGACACTCAGTGACATCACAATCTCTCACTGAAATGACAGAACCAGTTTTGGCTGACTGCATTATTAAGGATTCAATCCCATTACTCTAATGAAATATAAATTGGTTTCATATATTGAAAGTCTCAAAAGCAGGAGAAGATTTGAAATTTTCATATTTGGCATGAATATAAATTGCATTTTTTAAAATCTATTAGAGTTTTACTAATAAAGTTAGATGGATTTGATATTGTAATATATAGATTGCTTTGCTACTTAATGATGCTTGTTTGCCACTTATATGTGCATTAGTTTCTCCCAGTTAGCATGTATCTGTAATGTTATTTATGTTTTAGCAAAATGACAACTTTTTCTGTTGATAAAATGCATCATCATGCTGGTTATCTTGTTATCAATGAAGATGGAGGCATAATAGCAGTATGTATTTATTTGTTTTAGTTCCTAATTTTGTTAAAAACTCTTGTAAATTTGAAAAATTTCAGAATTATAATTTTTGGATCTTTCCTCCCAAAAAAAAATTCGGGAGAAGGTTTTAAATTCTGTCATGAAATTACAGAGCTATCATATTTTTATTTTGGGAAGAATATCATAATTTAAAATGCTTAAGAAGTGATGAATTATGCTTGCATATAACATATAACAGTGATGTAAAAGTTTTATGCTGATCATCAATATTCTTCTAATATTTCTTTATGTACAAGAATTTAACAAGTAAGCTTTATATTGATCTAAAAAATTAACTTACTAGGATTAAGTTATAAAAAACTATCAGTATATTAAAACATATTTAAGCAGTTTAAAATACAAATTTTAATGTTATGAAATAAATAAGCATTGGAAAATAAAATACAGGAAAATAAAATGCTTACTTTTCAAGAAATCTTTCCAGTTTTCACATTGAAGTAATTAAGTAATTTTGCAATGGTTAATCCAAAGTATAATTGATTGAAGTAAAAAATTCAGTTTGTAGAAATTAAAAATTTTTCCAGTTTTGTCAATAGTTGCTTTCTGCATTTCTCCCACTTTTGCAATATTAGTTAAAGTTATGGTTTCCTGAATTAATGCATAATTTTGACAGTTAACCAGAACACTTAATTGTTGTGTGCTCAGAAGCATTGATATATATGCAAGAAAAGCAACCACTTTAAGCAAGATAATATTGTGCATTCACTAAAGAACATCATTAAATTTACTCTGTGGTACCCATCGGCGAATTGAATCTTTTTTTACCCCGAGATCGGCACCAGTTTCAAGATGGTGTTGATCCTTCTGCCCGCTACACAAAACCTAAACAAGAAGTCAAAGACTTACATAAACTCGGTGTCCATGTACACATCGAGCTATTTTAACCTAAAAAAAAATCAGAGACTTGCATAAACGAGGCATTGTGCAATGCCTTAACTTGGTCCATCTACACATTGATCTATTTTCACTTAAATAAAATCAGGAAGCTAAAAGAAGGTTAAAACTATCAATGTTAACCAGAAAAAAAATTCGCCGCTGTCTTAACAGAGATGAACAAATAACCAAACGTACACAAACAGGCAGTAATAAATAACCAAAAATACACACAGTGACAAATAAATATATGAAATGTCAATTTTTTAACATATCTTTTTTCACAAGCATACATTCACACTTCCCACCACCATCTCCCCCATCCTCTATGTAAGCAATTCAATTAAATTTTTGGTCGTTTCGGCTCATCCGCTGTTAATGGCAGATAAGTACGTCCAGATTCACGATTTCATCAGAATCGAAACCATCAACATTCATCTTCTTACTTACCTCAGACATACTCAAATGCTGTGACCCACATTTAAGTGCAACACGAATGCACGTGTTGATAAGCAACACAGCAGTTGATAAGGATAGTAAGAAAAAATTAAAAAAAAAAAAAAAAACCTGGTCGATAATGAAAAGGTTGCTATTACAAAAAATAGCCAAAATTTCTATTTATCACAACACATTTGGCGATATTCTCAGAAATGACCACTTTTTAATGAAAAAACTAAAACAAACCACAGTTTTCCACACGGCTAGTTTCGGCAACATTAGGTTTACCGAAAAACCCATTTCAGGCAGAGGGCTTTCAGATTTCATGAACAATCAATACCACTTGGCGATTTTTTTCAGACACAAACCAAGCGGTACCTGCAGTACAGTAAAAATCAGCTAAACATCCTTATTAATAAAAACTTTCATCTGTCATTCTTACAAAAAAAGAATTATGGTGTAATTTTATGGAAAATAGCATACAGAAATTTTATTACAAATGATAGCGATAAAAACAAAATAGAGGAATATAAGCATAGTTAGTTTAAAATAATAATCTCGTTTCCTATGTGAAACATAAAAGGGTCTGACGAATTATCATGTACTGGTTTGATAGATTATAGCAAAGCACACTAGGTCTATCTGCCAAGATTCATATGGTCCTTAACAGTCCTTAAAAGTCCTTAGGTTTTTTTGGAATCGATTTTTGGTCTTTAATTTTGGCCAAAATCTGTAGAAGGTCTTAATTTTAAATATCTGAAATTTCTGTCTTTTTTTTATGACTGCCATTTTGAGTGAATTAGCATTTTGGAGAAATAATTTTGGCGATTCACTGACATATATGGTTATCCTTTGAATGAGTTATAATTTGTTCCTATTTCTAATATAAATGGTGGGATACTCGAGTTTATAAGCAAGAAGTGAAACAAAAGTATTTCAAAATTCATTTTTGCTAATGAAGAGCTCTTAAACAACTTTTCACTTTTGAGGATGTGAATTCCCATATTAAAAGGCTGTAAATTTGGCGACTTATCAACATTTTGGCGATTTTAAGATCAGTTTCTATAGAAAATTTTTAATTCCGAGATCTGGGAATTTTTCGCCGATTTTTTTTAAAACATTGCAACACTGATAAATTTCATTAAAATAATGGTTAATATATTGAAATTATATTTAAAAAATAACATTAAAATAAAACGTTTTTATTTTTCATTGTCATATTAAAGTTCCATTTTGGCAACTTATACAATATTTTGAATCTGAAAAATAAGGTATAACTCTATAAAGCACAACTTTGGAAACGGTTCTTAGCAAAAGCAAATTAGCTATGTAATTAATTAAGAATGTTTTCTTTTTAATTTTTTCATAGTAAGCGTTTTTCCCATATATAATTGTATCAGACTATTATGAATTCTCAAATTATGTATAAGTTTACTCTATAAAATTAATTTTACACTTCCTCCTTCTTTTTTTTCAAAATATTTCTGCCTTTTTGCTGCTACAAAGTTGGTAGGGATAATGTTTCTTTAGGATGTTAGATATTGCAGCTTGAAAAGTTTAGAAAGATTCGAAGGCAAGATTTATAGATCTACGATTCTAGAAGATTCCAGAAATATGTGACAAAATGAAAAATGTCTCCTCAGTGTTAACATGTACTGGATGTATTTTGCAGAAAGTTTGCAATGAATGTCGTGCTTTTAAGAGAACACATCTGGAAGAAAAATAAAAGCAAAATATTTTGAATTAAAAATATGATATTTGAATGTTCTACTTCTGATACTAGAATCTTTTTCTTAACATGTTTAGCCCACCAGCAGCCGAGCAGTAAAGTCGCTGAACACTGGTAGTTCGGTCCGAGGTTCGAATCCCGCGAACGGGCTGTCTGCATGGGCGTTTTCGTGGTTTTCCCCATGTGTAACGTGTATATGAGCCAGCTTCCCTTAGAAAGTCCTCCACGAAAGCATCCCTCCCTTTAGGCAGATAGCCCTCGAGGCTTTGCCATAATTTTGCCATAATCACACACACACACACACTTAACATGTTTATCTTCCATTTGTTTTCTGTACTTTTGTCTAGATACAAGCATGAAAAATATCAGAAATGCTTCTAATCTTATCACATGGACAGGCATTATAAAAAGGAATTTTTTTAAAGCATCATACACAGAGCTGGCACTAGGCATTCTACTTGATGCAATCTCTGTGGATCCTAAATTCTGCTGCCTAGTGTCTTTCTAAATTCAGCTTCCAATGCCTGCTCTAAATTCTGAACGTTTTGCCATTTCTAGATTTTGTAGTTCGGTGTGTCACTAAATCCAAAAAATTCTGCCACACCAGCTCTGTAACTGATCCTTACCATATGTATTTCATATTTCTTCTGAATTTTCATATTATTAAAGAAATAAAATTAGCATCTTTTTCTATAGGTTCCAAAATGGATTTAGGTGTTTTTTTTTTTTTTTTTTAAAAAAAACATTATTTAAATCCAAAAATTCTAAAATGAAATGGAAACATGTTGAAGAAAGAAACTTAATACACAAAGAAAATTATTCTTCAAAGATATGTACAGTTATTATTATGTAAAGTTATTATTATGTAAATTACTCAGTTGTTTATGATTTCAGCCTTTCCTATAATTTCCCATTTCTGTTTCCTCATATGATAGAGTTACTGAGCCAGCTTAAATTAAAATTAAATTGTATAGTCTTTGACCACTTAGTCGACATTTCTAATTTGACTGTTCTTGTTTAATTACATCACCACGAGCTGTAACTGATTTTGTTAGCATCAGAACATGCCTTTATGTTCTAAGTTCTTTTTAAATAAGAGGGCTTATTTAAACCTTCGTCTGATATTGTAGTTAACTTTCAGACATAGTTATGTTTTGCTTCACATCTGTCGGGAAGGGGGGTGGACTATTTAACTTTTACCAGATCAAGTAAACTCTGTGGAGAGGTTAACAAGTTAGGAGATAAAACATGCAGAAACTGGGAAGAAAATTGGTTTGCGTTTTCAAAGAAAATATCTAACTGTTAGAAAATATGTTTAAAAAGAAGGAAATCGATATATAAATTAGCCAAAATGTCTGGGTATGGATTCAAATTAAAAAAGATGCATAAATATTTTATTAAGTGTTGTTGCTACAAAACGTAAATGTTTTGTAGCTTTTAATGTGTAATTATCCTTATATCATTTAAGAATCGATGTCATAAATTGCATGTACAGTCGAATCCGGTTAATCGTACTGTCGGATAATCGGACCAGCTGCTTTTTCGCACCGAATCCTAAAGAGCCGAAACAAATCCTATGTGCGTAAACCTAATATTATTCGCTTTTTTTGACCAAAATTCCGTTTAATCGGACCAAAAAACGTGAGAGCGGATAAGAAACAGAAGACACAAGTTGGCAGCTTACAGCGGATGTACAAGTGGTCTGCGACATATGGGAGGATCTGTAGCTGCGCTCTCCAGGAGAGTGCTTTAGCAAAGGTCAGGAATTCTTTAAAGTGCATGACAAGACCAAAACCAGTGGAAGGTGAACATGCGAACCATTTTCTTTCACCTTTCTTAAAACAGAGCCACCCGTAGCCGCCAGCGAGAATATTGGTTCCACTGCGTCTTCGCTTTTCGAGGAAATGAACAA